TGAATACTCCTCAATTTCCACCGGCATTTTTCAAATGACTCCTTGCAATATACCAGTTCATTCTTTTTACTAAACAAATAATCATCACCTATTAATCAAAAAAAGAATGATTTTCAGCCAAAATGACCGTGACATGTCACGTCCAACTGACTTCTCTGACTTTCGACTTAACTATGAAATAAGTTCACAGAAAAGGCCCCTTTAACCAGAAAACTTAAATTACGATAGGTAATGAGGAATTTTTTGATTTTACATTTAAATCAGTCACGATTTTGGGCTTCAGTGCTTCCTTCTGTCTACTAAGCTTAATTTTGCGATTAGAACCAAGTGATACAGGAAGTCATAAAAACCGGAATATTTGGAACAGGAAGAACCGTTTTGAAGTACGATGTGTTTCACCGCAGTAGTCAGTTGAGCACAACAAAATTATTCTTACTTTTATGGTCAAAAAGTGGCTGAATCGAGAAAGTGACTTATAAGTGAGCACCGGTAAAAAATAAAAATAGCTTTGATAAAACAGAAGTTAATGCAAAGAAAAGAGTGAGGGCCAAAGATAGGAACTGACGTCTGCATTAATCTTTGCGGTCAATAACGGTATCTGAACTTTGATATTTCTGGAAGACAACTCTTTACCGATCCCTTACTGTACTGTTTCAAGGCCAAAAAAAAAAGAATTTTTAACGAACTACGTCGTGTTGAAACCGAGAAGATAAGCATCTAGAGAAGTCAAAAGTTGAAATTCTTCTGACCCTACTGAAACACTGCACATTATCCTCCCTTCTAGAAGTAAACTGAAGAAAAACTTTAATTTTATTTAATCAATATTCCTCTCAAAGTAAGATTAAGCTAAAACTTCGATAACTCCTTCGTAAGAGAACCTCCAAACCAAGCATTTTTTAGCGTTGTACCCCCGTCGACAACCATGGTTTGACCAGTAATGAATCCAGCTGTTTTATTGTCAGATAAAAATATTATCATTTCTGCGATATCTTCAGGCAACCCGTAACGTCCAATCGGTACACCTACCTCAGTAGCAATCTTTAAAATCTGAAAAATCTTTTACAAACTTACTATCAAGAAATTTGCTGCGTAAAAGCGGTCACTTCTGGTGACAAAAAATATAACTTAAACTGAAATTTACCTTATTCCTAGTTTCATCGTCGTATCCCAACTTCTTCATGAATTCTGTCTTGACAAAACCAGGACTATAATTCAAAAACAAATATTTCATTTGTGGCTAACAAAATTTCGAAATGATGAAACTGAAACTCATAAAAAAAATGACAGTAGCAGCAACTAAAAACTGTTATTGCAACAATCACAAATCCCTATTACGTTATAATATAGGGCTAAATAATATGTAGGAAAAAAGGTGATGAATATTAACTTATAATCTCAAAAAATGTTGAGTTCAAGTAGCCGTATCTCTTAATGGGTGAGTCTTTCAGGGACAAAAAAGAAGAAAAAACAGATATGTGTTCATAAAGCGACATACTTCACAGCATTGATACGAACTCCATCGCTGGCATTTTCCAAAGCCATAATTCTTGTGATGTGATCTAAAGCCGCTTTTGCTGCTGCATAAAATGGATGTCTGACAGCCTATTACGAAAGAATGAAAGCTTTGCTTCAATTACTAACAAACGTGACATGCACTTACAAAATATGATGAAAAAGTAAACATCAAATGCTTTTAAAAAAAAGTGTCTTCTTTGGAAACTCAAGAAGTTAGGCAAATTAGTATAGCTAATCTACAACTTAACAAACAATTGACTTATAGAGAACACAGAAGCATAATGACTCCAAAAAACCACCAGATTTTATTCAGAGTTGTAATGAAAAGCATTGTTAAAGAAAAGGTAGGAACATACTGACATTGTAGAGGCTATACTGCTAACGTTCACAATGCATCCTTTTGTAGCCTTCAAATGCGGCAACGCCTTCACGCTCATTGCAAGGGTACTGTTCAAAACATTGGTTTAACTTCTAACTAAGTACTCTAAGATTATTGAGGAATACAAAAAAACATTTTCTAAACTTATTTGCAACTCAATAAATATTTTGCTATTCAAAGTGTTGAAATTAAAAAAATTCTAAAGAACTTCTTTAAATAATTACTCTTCCGAATCTGCACTGATTCCCAACCACATTTCACTTTCTAAAGAATAGTATTCCTTTTTTTTTTTTTTTCTGCAGGACGAACCTATCAGTGATTAAAGCAACAATATAACTTTCAATCCAGTATGATACCTTTTACAGTTGAGACCGATCACTTTGTCAAAAACGTTGCACATCAGATTACCCTTGTCATCCCGCTCTATAAAGCCGCCTCCATGATTGTTAACCTTAAAACGAATTTTTGAATAAAACTCCCTACGGTCAATAATGAACACGTTAATCCACAGATTTAGCGAAATTATGTATCTATGATGGTGCGCTAACAACGTTAAGAATGGCAGCAAAACAGTCTGTGAAGACTTTCTGACTCTTACTGAAGGAAATGACAATGAATCAAAGTTGCTTAAAATACACATTTGAATGCAAAGACCTCTGAAACGCCGCTACTCACAAAAGCAGATTCTTGTTAAAGTTAAGTACCAAAACGTTAAGGGAGCCAAACTTCTTTAGTGTTTCGCCAATGAGACTATCCTGAACGTCCTCACTGGTGATATCTCCAATTATAGGCAGTAAATTAGCTTCGACCGCTCCAGCTTTAATACATTCTGACTTAGTTGCCTACAACAGACGATATAGTTAGCACATCCAACTCAATGGCAACAATTTTATTTGCCTTGAACAATGTTGTGGAACCTGAAGTGCTTTCTCATCTCGTCCAGTAATCGTTACTTTTGCTCCTCTCCTTGCAAAACTTATTGCCGTGGCTCTTCCAATTCCATTACTAGAACCTAAAGTAATTTACTCGTGCCGTTACATCAGATGCTAAATGGCACGACGCATCTGTAAAAAAATTAAGAAGGAGGACCAGATCAAGCACATAAAGTGCGATCACAAACAAGGTTTAAAAGTTGATCCTAACGTTATTGCTAATGTGAATTTGGCAAAGTGCTAAGATTTAGGACGAGAAATGAGGAGTACGCTGAAGAACTATCATATAAATATAAAATAGGCGTCTAACCGGTGACAATAACAGCTTTGCCCAAAAAACGAGACATCCAAACGAAAGCGTTGATCTGATTCTCTGGTGACCCTTCCAACAGCTACGTATTTACACGGAACTAAAGCACCCAAGTAATGCGTTCTATCTTTTGGAAGAGGTGCCAACCATTGCAAAGAATATAAAGCGCCGTTCAGCTGCAAAGGCGTTAAATCTCTTAAAACACAAGAAAATAGCAAGTTTTTTGCCATATGTTCTCGGTATTTATCAGTCCACTTTTGTCCGATACTTACTAAATGACTAAATTTTAGCGTACATCTAAAAGCTGGTTTGAAACCAGTCATGATTAGAAGGTTCCACTTCTAGCTTCATCAGTGATTGTGTTGCATTGTTCAAGAAAACGTCAATATTGAATTCTGCTCTCAGTATAGAAAGGTTCAACAACTCAGCCAGTGCGGCTACTTCTGCGCTTCAGCATTGGTGGTACTACTCAAGAGAACAGAAACTTGAGAAAAGCTTGTAATTCTCACCCAAACTGTGAAACGCTTAAATACTTGGCCTCTCAGGTGTGGTCCTCCATGCAAAATGGAAAGTGTGAATAATACTCAAATTGAACTGTTTGACTGCCAAAAAAACGTTGTGTTGGACTGCTGCGAGTGCTCTTCCTATAATAAAACACTGCAGAAGCTTTCTTTGGCTGGATTTCATACAGATTAAATTTCCGGAACGTTTGTGAGTTGTGTCGCCAAGTTTAAACAACAAAAACGGTTTAATTGTACATATCACTTAGGAAAGTGGTCCACATTTTTCTGGAGATAATCAGTGGCAATTCTTTGTTTGAATGAAAGAATAGTTGTCTAACAAAATTTTGTGCTTTCGGGATAACGTTTACATTGTGTAAGAGGAAGCGGGTAAGAGACTAGTTGAAAATTTGTCAGTTTTTTGAAAACAGTGGAAGACCTGAAACAACCAGTCATTTGAAATGAATATGGAAGAGGAAACCTTACTGAAACCTACTTGATATCGCAGTTTTTAGATGAGCCTATTAAGAAATAACTTTTAGAATTTGTCATCAATTCTTAGAACTCGTGACTTTTCGAACAACTGGTTGGAGACGGCTAACTATACCTGGCGCTTCGGAAGTTTTTCTATGTGCTAACCGTTAAACCATGAATTATAGGCGCCGTCATTTCTAATTTCCATTTCGTGGCA